ACCAATTCATCTTGATTAGAGTGTTTAGGATTTATTTTTTCTTTTATGTGTTATGAACACCATTCCTAGATTCCGAACCGCCTTCCTTGAGAGATCGACCCGGGGAACGAATCTTTCGATTCGGTACTCGGTAAAAAAATAATTTGCTACAACAAATTTGGCGCCATTGCCGGGGAAGGCAAGTAGGATATTTGGTTTTGGTGTTGATCTTATTTTCCGTATTTCTCTTGCTCTTGTGATATTTGCTTAATTTTAGTGTTTCTCTTGATTTCTTATTTTCCGTTTCTCTTGTTTTTGTTTTTTTTTTCTTTTTGGATTTGTGTAAATATCGTGTATTGTTAGTTGCATTTTTGTTTTTTTGGTCTCGTGTGCCTTGGTTGTTTTGTTTTTCTTGTGCGAGGTCTTTCGCTTGAGGAGCTCTGATGAACCCGTACGGCCATTCTTATGCCGGAAGCTCGTCTCGTGGATACCCCGACAACTACCAAAAGAAGATGTACTCTTATGGAGGGCCACCCTATCCGTGTCCGATCTATTCAAATCCCTATTTCTATGACGGATACTCTCCATTCCAAGAGTATGGCCCGAGCCATTCTTACCCAACATCTCAAGGCGATTATGATTATTACACTCCAACTCACTACGAGACGCCTCGTTACCAACCTTCATCTACCGACTATCACCAAGAGGTTTTGACGAGCACTCGAGAGATACTTGCGAGTCTCCTATCGATCTTAGACGAGTTTCATAATTGGAAGATCATCCCCATTCCATCTGATCTTCAAGCCAAACTCACGAAGTTCGACTCAACCGTTATTGATTTTCTCGACTTGGACACATCTCATATTCCGCTTGGTAGATATGAGTATCTATCGGCAAATGTTTGTCGAGAAAGCTCACGGTTAGAGGGCGAATTTCGATATATGGTGGATAAGTTTGCTTCTTTCAAAGAGATGGGCCTCACTCTCGTTTATGATGGAACACAATCTCTCGACGTGAGTGTGGACATTAATGATTTGTATGTTAGATGAATCCCTTCTTATGACGATACGGGATTCCAATCCGTGTTAAATACGTCAACCCTACCTTTCGGTGATTGTGCGTTGAGTTCGATTGCTATTGATGAGAGCGAGTGTATGGACTCAGAGGCCGATATCGTGCATGGTATGGGGGATAATTCACTTGAGGATTCGCTTGTGCCGAGTGGTGTTGAAAGAGCTCGGGATGATGATTGTGAGGAGGAGGTAGTTCATGGTGTCAAGGATGAGGTTGAGGAGGATGCCGAGTCATTATGTGAGGCCATTGACCCGAAGTGTGCATTGATGAATGACCCGACTCATGATGTTGATTACGAAGTGATTCCCATGTCCTTTGGGTGGTCATTTCGTGTTATCGAGGATGATGAACATTTGGAGAAGTTTAGTGCATACATGCACATGCTTCCGACTCCCAAAATTATTGAGCACACATCCGAGATGGCATTGGTGATGACCGAGATGGATTCGACATGCTCCACAGACATGTTCATAATTCCGGAGGTCGAATATGGGGCCTTGGTACGTAAAGAAATATCTTTTCTCTTGATGGGTGTTGATATCCGTGCTCAGTTTCACAAGAATACGACCACGAGAGTCTACTTTGCTTGCCTCTATTCCTTGCTACCAACGGGACTACTGTTGGAGAATACGAAGGCGTGGCATGATCGACACTTTTTCTTGGACCGCGGTTAATTTCGGTTCAGGTTTCGTCAAGCTAATGACGTTAAACAAGCGCTTCTTGGGAGGCAACCCAAGTGATTTATCGCTTTCTTAGATACTTTTCTTTACGCTTTTAGTTTTATCTTTGAATAATAGGAGTTTTGGAGTTCTGTGTTTTTCTGATTAGCAGGTATGAGTTCGCGAGGCTGAGCATAGGCGAGCAGCTTGCACGTGGATGTTTATTCCCCTCGAAGCTTTCGGTTTGCACACCTTTTCTCTTTTTGTTTTTTGAGTTGTTTTCCCTTCTGCCTTTTCTTTTGAGTTTTTCGTCTTGCGTCAGCTTATGTGTTTTTTTTGTCTTGAGTCAGTTCATGTGTTTTTTAGTATGGACTTTGGAAATTTCAAAATTAGTTAAGACTTGTTTGATGAATTCGATGAGTTGTGATGTTGGTCATATGCGGCATAGCGTGATGAAATGCTTAGTTGATTACTTTGATTGGCGTTCATATATCTACCTAGTGAGGTTTGAGCTTTATTTGTGTTCTTGAGATACATTGGTTGTGCTCTTGTTCGATTAGAACTTTCCCTGAATCTGCATTGAAATAAATTGATTAGAATTGTGAGTTGTGTATATGATTAAGGCATTTATTGTATTCTATCCTTTTCTTTCTCTACAAATTATTCTCTAGTCTCCCCTTTTGA